CTCCTCCTCCTGCTCCTCCTCCTCCTGCTCCTCCTCCTCCTCCTCCTCGCCGATGCATTGCCGATTCCAGGTCGACGCTCCCCCCCCCAATAGGCCAGGTCCCCCCCTTCTCGTTGCCCCTCACCTCCTGTCGGCCCCCTCGGTCCCCTCTCGCGGCTGCGTCCCCGTGGAGACTTTGCACAGCGCCGCTCCCTAGAAATTGGCGGCGAGCCCGGGGGGGATGAAGTGAGAAGGGGCAGGCCTTCTGAAGGCGGCGGGACTTCTCAAGAAGCCATCCGACCTTCTGAGGAGTTGTTGTGATGTCTTCGGGGAAGGCTCAGAAAACTTCGCACAAAGGCCCGAGACTTTCAGAGCCTTTTGGGAGGCCCGCTCCTTCTCGCTTCCCCCCAGGCTCGCCGCCACAAGGAGACACAAAGAAATCCACGCAAACTCAATGATTGTTCAGTAAATGCTGGAAGCATGCATGACGTTCCATCGATTCCCCAAACTCTCCTAAATTGACACAGACGCAAAGATTCCCCACAACGTACCATATGTGATGGATCTTCGTATTCCCCATCCACGTCCCATATACTTTACAATAATACCGTCCTGGTGACCAGAGCTTCTATAGAAGAGGAATAAACATAGACTGTTGGTGCTCCGCGCGGATTTCTTGGATCCGCGCAGGACCCCCCTCCCCGGCGCGCGGAGCGCAGGGGCGGCGCCAGAGGCGCCGCCGCGGGAGGCGAAATCCGCGCGGAGCGCCAACAGTTTATGTGTATGGCGTTTTTGTTCTTTCTTCGACGTATGATTTCCAATCATACCTTCCTGGCGATCAGAGCTTCTGATTCCCCACCCACGTCCCATATACTTTCCAATTATACCTTCCCAGTGCCTCCTCCTCGTCCTCCTCGTCCTCCTCCTCGTCCTCCTCCTCCTCCTTCTCGGTGTCTGCCTGGAACAGGAGGAGGAGGAGAAAAAGGGGGAGGAGGAGGAGGAGGAGGAGGAGGAGGAGAAAAAGGGAGAGGAGGAGGAGGAGGAGGAGGAGGAGGAGGAGGAGGAGGAGGAGGAGGAGGAGGAGGAAGAGGCGTCTGTCTCTTTTTGCCCTCCCGAGCTCCAACGACCGCACGGCCTCGCAGCCCCGGAGGCACAGGCGCAGCTGCCGGACGCTCCCGCCCTGCCCGCCGCCGCCGCCGTCGCCGTCGCCGTCTCCGTCGCCGTCGCCGCCGCCGCCGTCGTCGCCGCTGCCGTCGTCGTCGCCGTCGCCGTCGCCGTCTCCGTCGCCGTCGCCGTCGTCGGCGTCGTCGCCGTCGCCGTCGTCGTCGCCGTCCTGCCCGCCGCTCTACGGCCCGAGTCTTCCCGTCTCGGCGCACGCTGCACGCAGGAGCGGCCCCAGGCAAGAGTGGCCTCTGGTGTGCGGCTTCGGAGGGCCGCGAGGGGGCCAAACCTCAGCGTGCAGGCCACTGCGGGGGGGACCCGTGTGTCGGCGGTGGACAAACCTCCCTTTAGCAAATCACCCTTTAGTGAAAACGGCCTAGGGCCGAAATCAAAGGACCCGGACCCGCAAAAACGACGGTCGCGACGCCCTCTCGCGAACCGAAAACGGCCAGTTCGCTAATCGACGTGTCAGGGTAGGAGGTCTGTCAACCTCCGAGCGCCGGTGGTTTAAAGATGGGGTCGTGAAGGATGGGGCCCTCAGGACGAGGTGCCTCAAGCAGCGCAAATCCACCCTTGGATCCCTTCCCATCTTTGGGCCCCGAGCCCCCAGGACCCCACCTCTGAACCACCGACCTTTGGCCCGCACCAAGAGGTCACTCCGGCGAGGGGTCGCGCACGCGGAGCCGAATTTCGGCCCTCAGGGAACCGTTTGCGGGCCCCGGGACCGTCGAAAATTGATATGGGGAGGGAGAGAGAGAGAGAGAGAGAGAGACAGAGAGAGACATAGCCCGCGTCGAGGCACCTACGAGGGTGCTGCGGGAGGGCGCCGGGGCGCCAGTATGGGCTGACCGCTCACTGGAAAATTGATATGGGACGCAAAACAACCGTGGGGAACGGGTCGGGAGCCCTGGAGCCGCAGACTGACAGATCAGCCAACGCAGACCCCAGATAGATCGGCATGCTGAAATGACGTGGACTGGACTGCACTTAAATAGACTGGGCTGGCCTGCGGTGGGCTCTGCGCTACTCTGCTCTGGTCCACTCTGCGCCTCTCCGCCCTGCTCTACTCGATCCCAACCTACGCGAACCTACTATACTCTGCTCTACCCTACTCTACACCCGTCTAAGTCTACTCCTATTCGACCCAATTATGATGCGATCTGCAATGCTATACTATACTCTGCTCTACTCTACTCTTATCTAGTACACCCGCCACTACTCTAACATAAGCCCCGCTCTACTCTACTCAGCTCTACTCTACCCTACCCTAACCTACTATACTGTACTGTACTCTTACTCTACTCTTGATACACTCCCACTCTACTCAAATCTTCTCTCACCTGAGTCAATGTACGCATTGCTCCACTCTACCCTACTCTACCCTACCTACCCTACCCTACCCTACTCTGCTCTGCTCTTAGTCTACTCCTGCTCGAATATACTCTACTCTCATCTGCACCAGTCTGGCGTGCTCTACTCTTCTCTTCTCTATTCTACCTGACTCGACTGTACCATCTAACAGACTCGACTCCTCTCTACTCTACCCTGCTCGACTCGACTCTACCCTACTCTGCTCTACTCTGGCCTGTTCTACCCTACTCTGCTCTACTATGCTCTACCCTACTTTACTCCTACTCGACTCTACTCCTATTCGACTCTACTCCAACTCTACTTCTACTCTACCAGCATCACTCTATGATAAGCTGATAGTATATACTCTACTCTACTATGTTCTACTCTACTATGCTCTATGTAACGCATCTATTATAATATGCTATCTGCTCGACTCTACTCGATTATATCATACTCCCCTCACCTCTACTCATTACGCTGTCCTGCTACTCCACTCTGCTCTACTCTACTCTACCCTACTCTACTTCTGAGTTTGAGAAGTGTTCGGCGATTGTCGGGACGCCACTGGGATAGCCACAGGAAGCCAATGCAATAGCAAAGGAAGCCATTGCAATAGCAGAGGAAGACATGCAACCATTGCAACCATTCATGGCAAACTAGGGGGGGGGACGCCATTGCAACCGTTCAGGGCAACATAGAGGGCAGAGGGTATCACTGGACCAGTTCTCTACGGCTTGTCCTAGAATTCCCATGGGGAAGCCTGTTTGGAGGACAATCGCATCGGAGGACGTTCGATCCCGTGCCGATGCAGCTCGATCCGATGCACATCTTGTTGGGCCTGTTTTCCACCACCACCACCACCATAAGTTGGACGGGGGAAGGCGGAGGATGATGATGATGAGGAGGAGAAGGAGGACGAAGAGGACGAAGAGGAGGAGGAGGAGGAGGAGGAGAAGGACGAGGACGACCCCCTCCCCGTCCTACTTGTGGTGGTGGCGGTGGAAAGCAAGCCCACCACGATCCGATTTGCTGATTTGATGCGGTCGGATCCTGCCTCCCCAAAGACGTATCCAAGTATCTGCGGCCTCTCGCGGTCTGGAGGCCCTTGCCGCGGCGCCGGTGGGGTGCGTGGCGGCTCAGCGCTGCTGCCCCGCGGCTGTCGCGCGTCTATGGAGTCGCCCATCCACGTGGGATCGCCCATCACCACCATCACCACACTCCTCCTCCTCCTCCTCCTCCTCCTCCTCCTCCTCCTCCTCCTTCTCCTGCTCCTCCTCCTGATCATCATTATCAGCAGCAGCATCATTAGCATCATCAACAGCATCATCAACATCATCATCACCATTATCATCACCATCATTATCATTATCATCATCATCATCATCATCATCATCATCATCATCATCATCATCATCATCATCATCATCATCATCATCATCATCATCATCATCATCATCATCATCATCATCATCATGTGATGATGATGATGATGATGATAATGATGGTGATGATAATGGTGATGATGATGTTGATGATGATGTTGAGGATGCTGTTGATGATGCTGATGATGCTGCTGATGATGATGATCAGGAGGAGGAGCAGGAGAAGGAGGAGGAGGAGGAGTGTGGTGATGGTGGTGATGGGCGATCCCACGTGGATGGGCGACCCCATGGACGCGCGACAGCCGCGGGGCAGCAGCGCTGAGCCGCCACGCACCCCACCGGCGCCGCGGCAAGGGCCTCCAGACCGCGAGAGGCCGCAGATACTTGGATACGTCTTTGGGGAGGCAGGATCCGACCGCATCAAATCAGCAAATCGGATCGTGGTGGGCTTGCTTTCCACCGCCACCACCACAAGTAGGACGGGGAGGGGGTCCTCCTCGTCCTCCTCCTCCTCTTCCTTCTCCTCCTCCTCCTCCTCCTCCTCTTCGTCCTCTTCGTCCTCCTTCTCCTCCTCATCATCATCATCCTCCTCCTTCCCCCGTCCAACTTATGGTGGTGGTGGTGGTGGAAAACAGGCCCATCAAGATGTGCATCGGATCGAGCTGCATCGGCACGGGATCGAACTCGGAGCGGATCGGCGGGACCAGGATACAGCACCGGCCATGCAAGCAGCGCGCCGCACTAGACCGTCGGAACATCGAACTCGAGTCGGATCGGCCGGCCGGAGTCGACATCGAATCGGATCGATCGGATCGAAGACCCGGGGAGGTCAGGGAGTCTGCGGGCACCCTCAGGAGGAGGAGGAGAAGGAGGAAGAAGAGGAGGAGGAGGAGGAGGGGGAGGGGCAGGAGGAGAAGGAGGAGCAGGAGCAGGAGGAGGAGGAGCAGGAGGGAGAGGAGGGGGAGGGAGGAGGAGGAAGACCGCTCTGCGGGCCGCTGTGTGTACGTGTGTTTGTACGCAGGGCGTGCGGGTTCTGTGCGGCCGCCCCCCACACCGCGCTACTCGCCTCGGGGAGGGGGCAGAGGCCAGAGCGGGCGCCACTGCTCCTGCTGAGGGGCAACGACGGGGGGGGACAGGAATAGGGGGGGACACATCGACCCAGAATCGGCGATACCTCGCCGATAGATCAGCGATTGGCCCCCGATAGTGAATCAGCGCGTTCCTGGGCAGGTTCGGGCTATCGAGGCAGGAGAGGGGAGGGAGGGAGGGAGGGAGGGAGGGAGGGAGAGAGGGAGAGAGGGAGGGAGGGAGGACCCTATCGACGATCAATGGGAGATTGGGGGTCGATGCGTCCCCCCCATGTGCCTATCACCCCCCTATCGTTGCCCGACGTGCCAGTGCCACCTCCTCGCCCGTGGAGGCCTGCCCACAGTGGCGCCAGGAGGGAAGGCACAGAGATACGGTCGATGCACTGCCAGAAGGCACGCGAAAGCAGGAACGAGGCCCCTCTTCGGCCCCGGAAGCGCCTGGGCAGGAGGAGGAGGAGGAGGAGGAGGAGGAGGAGGAATAGCCAAGTAGGGAACCTAAGAAACATCGAGCCTCTTCCGAACCCGAACTGCTCCACATGTCAGCGTCTTAGCTGCACTGGAGGCGCCCGTCGGGTCTGAAGTGGCCGGGACCCCCAGCATGTCGGTCGGGAAGGGGAACGAGGCCAACCCCGCTCGGAATCTGCCCACGGACCTCTCCCAGCCAGTTCAGAACCTCGAGCCCCTTCCCCACCATCCCCCCTTTCTGGGGAAACCAAAAAGTGCTGATGCCGGTACTCCCAGGATCTCTCCCAGAGTGCGTTCTGACCAGGATTTTGAGGCGAATTCGGCGGTGGCAACGAGGGCCTCCGAGGAGGCCCCCAAAGGGGAAAACGAGGAAAAGGTACAGGTATTGGTATACCGGTATGGGTATACCTGTTCCTCATCCTAACCTTTCTGCTCGCCAGAACCAGTGCTGGGCCACCTGCAGACCCAACCGGCCGCCTGCGACCTGCGCCCGCGCTCCGTGCAGTGTGTATCCCGCTGACTCTTCCTGGCCCCTCATCCTTGTCGTCTTCGTCCTCCTCCTCCTCCTCCTCCTCTTCCTGGGCCACCTGCAGACCCAGCCGGCTCCCACATGGTCACGCTTCCCGCCCGCGACCTGCGCTGCCAGGCCGCTGCCCAGCTCGGCGGCCGGGTCTGCGCGCGCGCAGTCTTGGAGCCCGAGGTCGACCTCCCACAGCCGCCGCTGCGCGGAGATGCCCTTGCCCAGCTCCTGCAGCGATGCCAGCCTCCTCAGAGGGGCAACGACAGTCGGTCTCGAGTCGGAACATCGGATCGGAGCGGAACGTGTGTAGAGTCGGACCACGTCGGCATCGAGTCGGAATCGAATCGGACCTGCTGCGCCAGGATGCGCACTGCAAGCATCGGGCCGCATCGGATTCGCCATCTGTCTCATGACTTCGCTATGAACATGTCGATCCACGTATATCGGCATAATTGTGTATCCATCCTGGACCGGTTTTCACCCTGTATCGATTTCTGACCGTCGCCAGGCCCGAAGGGGGCCGAACATAGCAGCAAGAGCCAATATCGGATCGAAACGACGAATCGGAATCGGAGCTCCGCCGCATCTTCTTGAACATGGGGCCAGATCGGCCAACGCCGCGTCGGCTCGGACATCGGAGGGTTTGTTCCCGATAAGGAACCCAGGACCTTCGAGCCTCCGAGCCTCCCCTCTTTGATCCTTCGAGCCTTCGAGCTTTGGAGCCCTCGAGCTCTGGCGCCTTCGAGCCCCCCATCTGTTCGATCTTCGAGCTTCCCCTCTGCGAGCCCGCGAGCTGTGGACGCCCCCGATAGCTTCGAGCCTCCCCCCCAGGTGCAGCTGAGAGAAGAAGGGGGAGGAGGAAAAAGAGGAGGAGGAGGAACAAGAGGAGGAACAAGAGGAGGAGGAGGAGGAGGAGGAGGAGGAGGAGGAGGAGGAGGAGGAGGAGGGGAAAAAGAGGAGGAGGAGAGGAGGTGGAGGAGGAGGAGGAGGAAGGGAGAGGATGAGGGGGAGAGGAGGAGGAGGAGGAGGAGGAGGAGGAGAGGAGGAGGAGGAGGAGGAGGAGGAGGAAGGAGGAGGAGGGAGGAGGAGGAGGAAGAGAGGAGGAGAGGAGGAGGAGAGGAGGAGGAGGAGGAGAGGAGGAGGGGGGGGGGAGGAGGAGGAGGAGGAGGAGGAGGAGGAGGAAGGGGAGGAGGAGGGGGAGGAGGAGGAGGAGGAGGAGGAGGAGGAGGAGGAGGAGGAGGAGGAGGAGGAGGAGGAGGATATCTTCGGCTCCTGCAGCCACGGAACTCCAGGTGCAGCCGCACGAGGCCGCTCCCCGCGGCGGCGAGGCCCCGCCCGATCGGGCTGGCGGACGCCAGCTGCGAGCAGCCCGCGAAGGCCAGCACCAGGTGCGCCAGCCGGGGATGCGCGCCGAGGCCCGCCCCGACCTCCTGGCCAAGACGACGACGCCGACGCCGACGCCGACGCCGCCGCCGACGCCGCCGCCCCGCAGCCACGAACAAGACGGCCGCGACGGCGACGATGATGGTGGCGACGACTGCAGCGGCGGCGGCCACGACGAAGTCTGCGGCGACGGCGACGATGATGGCGGCGATGATTTCTTTTGTATGAGACCAGCACCAAAAAACATGGGCATAAACTTTCAAATCTCCATGCGGATCTGCGCTGGGCCCCTCTGGCGGCGCCTCCGGCGCCGCCCCTGGCGCGCTCCGCGCGCCAGGGCGAAGAACCCAGCACCGATTCAAGAAATCGGCGGGGAGCTCCGAAAGTTCATACATGAAGCAGGAGAAGGAAGAGGAGGGGGAGGAGAAGGAGGAGGAGGCGGAGAAGGAGGAGGAGGAGGAGGAGGAGGAGGAGGAGAAGGGGGGAAGAGGGGGAAGAGGGGGAGGAAGGGAAGGAGAACCCTCAGGACCCGCCAACTTTTGCTCGAATCCCTCCTCCTCCTCCTCACCTCCTCCTTCCCTCCTCCTCCTCCTCCTCCTCCCTCCTCCCTCCTCTCTCCTCCCTCCTTTCTTTCCTCTATCCTTTTTTCCTTCCTCATTTCTCCTCTCCTCCTCCCCTCCTCCTCCTTGGCCTGCGTTTGGAGCCGCTCTCCCCCATCTTCGTCAGACCCCCTCCTCCTCGCCGTCGGCGTCTTCTCCTTCTCCTTCTCCTTCTCCTTCTCCTTCTCCTTCTCCTCCTCCTCCTCTCCTCCTCCTCTCTCCTCTCCTCATCCTTCTCTTCCTCCCCCTCCTCCTCCTCCTCCTCCTCCTCCTACCTCCTCCTCCTCCTCCTCCCCTCCTCCTCCTCCTCCTCCTACCTCCTCCTCCTCTCCTTCTCCCCCTCCCTCCACCCTTTCCTCCTCCTCTCCTCCTCCTCCTCCTCCTCCTCCTCCCCCCTCCTCCTACCTCCTCCTCCTCCTCCTTCTCCTCCTCCTCCCCCTCCTCTTTCTCCTTCCTCCTTCCTCCTTCCTCTTTCCTCCCTCCTTCCTCCTTCAATCCCACCAGCCCTTTAAGGCATCGGTTGTCTAGAGAGCTTCCTCTTCCAACCCCCATTCTTTCCATTCGGGGAGGGGTTTACCCCTCCCCTTACCCCTCCCCACTGACCTGGACGGGGCGTTTCGCGACGCGTTGGGACGTCCAAGATGGCCCAAGATGGCTCCAAGAGCGCCCCAAGAGTCCAAGATGACCTCCAAGATGCCTCAAGATATCCTAAGATGTCTCAAGATGGCCCCAATGATGTTCCAAGAACCCCCAAGACCGCCACAAGACGGCCCCACATGGCCAAACAGCTCCCCAAGGAGCCCCCCCAAGGGGCCAACATCATGCCAAAACCTAAGGAAACACACATGTTTGTTTGGCGGTCTCGCTTTTTCGGTTTCGATAGCCATCCGAGGCCTCAACACAGCTCCAAGATGGCCCAAGAGGGCCCCAAGAGAGGCCCAAGGGAGCCCCAAGACGGCCTCAAGAGCGCCCCAAGGTCGCCTCACGAGAGGCCCAAGAGGCGATTCGAGGTACTCTAGAGGGGCGACGCTAATTAAGAATCCCCCCTTCTTTGATAGATCTCCTCCAAGATGGCCCCAAGAGCGCCCCCGAAAGCTCCCAAGATCGCCCCAAAAGCGCCCCAAGAGGGCCCCAAGAGGCTCCAAGAGGCGCCCAAGAGGCCTCCAAGAGGCTCCCAAAAGACTCCCAAGAGGCCCCAAACTGCTCCCCGAGATACGCAAGAAGCCCCCCGGACCGCCAAGAGGCCCCAAAGACAGCCCAAGAGGCCCCCAAACTCGCCATTGTCTACCTCCTCCTCCTCATCCTCCTCCTCCTCCTCCTTTTCCTTCTCCTCCTTGTCCTCCTCCTCCTCCTCCTCCTCCTCCTCCTCCTCCCCCTCCTCCTCTCCCTTCCCCCTCCTGCTCCTCCTCCTGCTCCTCCTTTTCCTCCTCCTGCTCCGACGACCGTAGCCATTTTGGCTCAAGGTTGTGGTTTCCCAGCGGAAACAAGTGGATACCGCTAGTCCGCGGCTAGACCCCAGTTTCTTTCATCGCACCGCTGCGTGAGCCGCCCGCAGCATCCTGTGAGGTTCCTCGGAGCAAGACGACGAACCCGCCTGGTCAGCCCCAGGATCGGGAGCAGACACTCCAGCAGCAGCCATGGCGCCCACGAGCTGGTGGCGCGACGCGGCGCCCTGGCGCGCAGGCCCCAGCTGGAAGTGCACAGAGTGCGGGTGCGGCAAGAACCTCGGGGCCTGGACGTGGTGAAAGCACTGTCAAGCACCCAGGCACGAGCCAGGCGACGCAGCCCCCCCCAGCGGCGCAAGGGCGCTGGGCGGACGGCACTGGCATGGCTACTGGGGGCAATGGTTCAGCGGGCCCTGGCGGCCCACACTCCGAGAACGACGGCTTCAACGTGGACAAACTGGACCTCCCCGAGGTCAATGAGCTGTACACAGTCGCCACCAAGATGGGCAACACAGAGCTCCAGGAACGCTGCAAGGCCAGGATCGACACGATCAACCGCCTGGCGGCAGGAGGACCCAAGAAGTCCCTGGAGCTGCAGCTGCCCAACATATCCGACGCCCGCGACAAGCACGCCAAGAAGCTCGAGTCCGCCCTGGACAAGCTCGACAAATGGGATCGAGAGCTCGGCGGCCAGAGGGACTGGGTCGCCCAGCTCAACGCCGAGCTGGAGGACTTCAATGTGCAGCACTCCAAGGTCCTCGCCCAGTTGCATGACCTGCACAAGGCCAAGGCCCCTGAGCAGCCCGCGCTCGCCCTGGGCGCGCTGCTCGATGGCACCTGCAGCAGCATCAAGATCGACATGGGCTCAGTCTTCGACCTCGAGGAAGGAGACATCACCAACGAGGACCGAGCGGATATCAGCAAACGACAGCGAGCACTAGAGGAACATACATATATCACAACCTGGACAAAGGAAGTCTTCGCCAAGGCCGCTGAGCACGCGCTGCCCGTCAAGCAGCAGCGCCAGGGGCACGCGCAGCGGCTGGCCAAGAAACGCAAAGGAGACAATGGCAAGGGCCCCCAGCCTCCTGCGGCAGAAGCAGCAGCAGCACCAGCAGACCCAGCCAGCCAGCCTCAGGCGAGCGCGGCTGGAGGCGCAGCATCGGTGCCGCCCGCAGCGGAACCGCCCAGAGGCACCTGCCCTTCTACAGACGCAAGCCGCGCTGAACGTCGGCGACGCACCAACGAGACCCTGGCCAGGCGCAAGAAGGACAAGGCCAAGAAGAACAACGACAACAACCCTACAGCAGGCGCCCAGCCAATGGCAGGGGCCCAACCCGCCTGAGCCATGGGCAGGCGGGGCGCCCGACCACTACCCCGCACATCGCGCTGGACCTAGAGGAGCAGGACCAGCATGGAGTACCATATTCGTTGATGGCACATCCCCGAAGAGAATGGGCGCTCTTGGGGACATGATCATCATCAAGACAGGAACCTGGGCGGTAGGAGACTCCGACCCAGGGACAGACGCGGAGGTCAACGGCGACAGGGGCACCTGCGTTGACAACTGCAACATACAGCGAGGCTCTGCGAGGCGAAGGCTGGGGGAGCCGCCCGCAGAGAGGACGCGGACCCTCGGCCCCCGAGCGGTCGCGGCTCCTCGAGAATGACGCCAGGGGCATCGACCTGAGTGGCGTCCAGTTCACGCAGGGCGCCGCCGACGAGCGGGAGACGGACACCATCCACGGGCTGAGCTTCGAGGAGCTGCTCAGCCAGGTCATGGGCCAGGACCCCGCCTTCGGGGCAGAGGCTGCTGCGCGAGAGGATCAGGATCTCTCGCAGCCCTCGCTCATCGCGCGACAAGGAGATGGGACTGGGGCCGCCCCACACCACAGCAAGGGGGGCGGCGCAGGGTGCGCGCGGGCAGCCGCGGACGCGCGGGTGGTCGAAGCCTCCCGCAGCACCCAGCTCACCGCCGACGCCGCCGACGGGCGGGTGGCCAAAGCCGTCCGCGGTTCGAGCAGTGCCCCCCAACACGGTCAGGGAAAGAACAACGGGTGCTCCCAACACCGGTGGACACCCCCACCTCAGAGGGCGCAGATCAGACGCCCCCAACGCAATGTTGCAGCCTGCACCTGGTCGTGGGTCCCAGCCTCGCCGGGCTAGGGAGAAGCGTGCACCCAACCAGCGGGCCCAGGAGCAGCCTGGTGTGGAAGGCTGGGTGCCCTGCGAGGTGCAGGACCTTGCCGAAGGCCCGCTGAGGGTTGAGCGACCTGTGTCACAGCAGGCAGCCCGAGTGACCAGCGCCTCTCCGCTGCCAGTTGGGGGAGACTCGGGGGCAGCAGACATCACAGACATCAGCGACAACGACATGCACCTGGACGGCGAGCCCGACATGAGCGGGATCGCAGACTACGGTAGCACCTCCACCTCGAGCCACTCAGGAGTCAAACCACCGCTGGCCACGGTGGGGGAGAGGGGGGGGACGAGTACTCCCCGCGTCTCCCAAGGGGGGCGGCGGGGTGGAACCCGCGCTGTCGTGCCGACTCTGCGGAGGATGGGGGCGGGCGTGCCGACCGCCCCCACCCCGCACCAGGACGATCCGACAGTGTCGTCTCGCGGCGCTACTAGTGGCTCAGTCCGAGGCGATGGAGGATCCCTTTCACATACCATTCTGGAGGCAGACATCGAGCTCAACGGCAGGACGGACACCTGCGTGGGCAACGACATACACCCAGGCTCTGCAAGGCGAAGGAAGGACCCTCCGCCAGCAGAGAAGGAGCGGACCCCAAGGCAAAGGGTCGCGGCTTCTGACGAACACGACGTCGACGGCAGCAGCCACAGCTACGACATCCACCACGGCAGCCACGACGGCAATCATCCCATGGAGGTTGAGGACCCCACTGTGAGCAGCTCAGCAAGCCCGCGGCCGAACCAGTCCAAGCGGGGCAAAGGAGGAGCGCCCAAGGCAGGAGTCGAGATCTACGGGGTCAACTGTTCTACATGGAGCGCCGCCAGCACGCTACTCGACTCCTTGTGTGGCGGCCAGGTTTGGGCTCTCCTTAGGCA